GTAGACATTCTCCAACAAAATTATAATATTTTATTACATTTTATCAGTCATGATATTTATTTACTATTTGATGAATTCTTTGCCCATGAAACCAAGCTTAGGTTTCAAAATGCTGTCTAAATACAAGCCCAGAAGAAAAAGGCAAATTTCTTAAGTGATAAATTGTGAAAAAAATTTATGATAATATATGAAGGGTGTTAATTAGTCATCTATTCCAGTTTTTATTTGCATGCTTGTTTTGTAGATTTCCTCTATAAAACATGCTTTGGAGATATTGTACAAACAAAACTGGGTTAATCAGCACAACCACTGTTCCCATTATGTTGCTTTAGCAAAGAATTCCATGATGGCATCAGAATTTCTGTGTGAGATGAGTTCATGGATAGAAATAAAGAATTTAATAGCAAGACACGATGTGAACAATTGGGGGAGTCAGTCTTATTGCATCTTTTTATGAGTGGCATTGAAATGTTTCATAGAATGAGTCTCAGTCATCTTCCTGTAAATATATGTATCATGATTTAGGAGGGAGTGACCTTTGAGGATGTTGCTGTGACCTTCACCAAGGAGGAGTGGGCTTTGCTGGATTCATCCCAAAAGAAGTTCTATGGAGATGTGATGTGGGAAACCTTTTATAATGTGTCTGCTATAGGTAAGAGTGATATCATTTATCTAATTTATAAAATCAGAGAGCATTGCTTCTTGGTCATCTGTGTAGTTTTACTAATTAGAATGTGAAAGCATTTTGCTGAATATCTAGACATGAACACATGGTATTGCATCTACCTGGAATCAGTGAATTTTTATATAATGTTGGAGTAGCTTTCTATATTTCTTTTTCTGCACTTCAGGAAGAAATTGGGATAACCAGCAAATTGAAGATGAGTGGCAGCAATATTTGAGGAGAAATCTAAGGTAATTTGCACTAAAGTTTCTCAAAAGTCAGGGAAAAAGAAATACTTTCAATGCAGGAAACTATATTGTTAGTTTTTCAAATAAGAGGAATCATGCAGTTTTTAAGCTCTCATTTGTGATTTTATTTAACATCATGGCCTCTAGGTATAATCTTTTTTCCTACAAATGACTCAGGTTTTTCTTTCTTTATGGCAAAATAGTACTTCATTGTGAATGAATAAATGAAACAGCAAAATAAAAGATACATACTAAAGAACAGGGAAAAAGATATTTTGTAAAAGTGAAGGAAAAAGGCCAGTGAGATAGCTCAGTGACTTAATCTCCTGCCTGGCACGTGCAAGGTCCTGAGTTTGATCCCCAGTATTGGAAGCGGGGAGGAAAAAAAGAAGAAGAGAAATAAGAGAGAAATGAATGGGAGAGGAAGAGGAGGTGAAAACGAAATAAATATTAAGTTGTATTTTGTACATGTACTAACAATATATGATGGATATAGTCTTTATGTGTTAAAAAAGGTATTAATAGAAATTTGAAAAAATTTAAAACAAGCTCAGCTACAAATGAAACCAACTTTGAATTAATTTAATCTCACAAACTGTTTGAATGCATACATGTTGAGAACCTATGCTTTGACAATTGAATATCTGAAATAGTCTAGTACTGGGAATTTATGGAGCGCTGATATTACACCACAAGTGACATTATCTAATGTATCAGAATAAGCAAAATATCTTCCACATTCATAATTATGAAAATATTTTATGACATTATATTTAGTCCTGGACTATAAGTATATATGAAATAAAATTTTTGTTTAGACTAGGTGCCTACTTCGAATACACAATTGTGGATATATATTTTCTAAAGCCTATTTTTATACCAACTAGTTTATCTAATGAATGCTATGTTTATTTAAATGTGTTACATGCAGTCAGTATTTGGAAAATTGTTAACACTGGTAGAAGTATTCAAATCCAAATAAATGCCACTGTTTTAATAATGGCTGTTTGCAAGCAATTCTTTCCACACATTCAACCTATTCATTTTCCAGAATTGTTACAAATATCTTCAAAAGTCAGAGAAAAGCAAAAATATTCTTGACAGGAATGTCACATAGTACAACATCTATGGAAATGTGTGTAGAAAATTCTCCAAAAATAAAAATAGAAATTCCATTTGATCCAGCTACATTTTTATTGGGTATATTCTTAAAAATTTATGGCCAGCCAAATAGCTCAGCAGATTAAAGTACCTACAAGCATGTGCAGAGGCCAGGGGTTTGATCCCTGGGCCTGCTGTGCCAGCCCTGCTCCTGGGGTGGCTGAGAGGGTGATTGAGACTGGGTGTGGTGGTGTGCACCTACAATCCCAGCACTTGGGAGGCTGTAAACAGGAGAATCACTATGAATCTGATCTAGTAGTGAGACCCTGAACACCCTGTAGACTGTTCCCTAAAAATACAGAAAAAAAATTTAGTCATATTATGATGACACCTGCATATACATGTGATGAGAGTACAGTTGTTAATAAATGATTTCTCAAAATTGCCAATCTGCAGATGAGTGGGTAAAGAATATATGGGATTGATCAACCATGTTGGTACATACTTGTAAGCCCAGCACACTGAGAAGCTGAGCGAGAAAGATCACATTTTCAACTCAGCATAAGCAACTTAATGTTTGAGGAAACTATTCCAAAATAAAGGCTGTAGGTGTAGCTTAGTGCTAATGCCCTGGGTTAACTGTCCAATACTGAAAATGTGTGGTATATATACATAATGAAACTGTATTTAGCTAGAAAGAAGAAAAAATGATGTCATTTGCCAAAAAAATTGATGGATGTTAAACCTGCAACTTTTAAATGAAATAAGGCAGTCATAATTTTAAGTGAAATAAACACTGAAAACTTAATATCTGGTGATATAAATGAGAAACATAATATATGAATTAGGGAGTCAAAGAAAGGAGAGAATAGAAAATAGGCTTTTTGGTGATGGCAAAGAGGTTCAATGTAAAGGGGAGGGTGCAGGTTTATGGAGGAAAGGGTATTAAAATAATATATAATATTATTATGTACTGATTCCTTTATTTTTTTTTTGATTCCTTTAAATGAAAGTAAATACTATATATTGCAAATGTGTCATTTTAAAAACTCTCAAATTAAGGTGACTATTTCAGAATAGTCCTTATAAATCATTAATAAGAAAACTTTATAATGTGATTGATTTTTTATTATGTTCATTATTTTTGTTTTACAGATGTGAAGAGGCAGTGGAATGCCGTCAAAATAAGTCAGGGCATGAAGATGGAGAAATGTTTTTTTGGACTCTAGATTCTGATGTGAACTTGAAACTTCCTGGTTTGAAATCATCTGAAAATCTTGTTTGTAGAAAGTCCCTGATTAATCCATTGCTAGATGTACCTATCATAGGTCACACTGCTCTCAAATCATATCACTGCCAGGGATTTGAAGACAAGCTATCTAATTGTAATATACATGATTCCCAGATCTTTCAGAGACATGCAAGTACAAACACTGGGGAGAGACCCTGTAAATATAAACAACGTGGGAAAGCTTACTCTGACTTCAGTGTAGAAACTCGAACTGGAGAAAAGCCTCTTGAATTTGAACAAGACTCTATGCCCCATTGTGTTCCAATCCATGAAAGAAATCACAGTAAAGTGCGACCCTTTGTATACACACAATGTGGCAAAGCTTTTAATTCCCATGACTATATTCAAATACAGGAAAAACCTCATTATGAAGAAAAACACTATGTATGTAAATTATGTCAGAAATCCTTTACTAGTAGCACTTCATTTTGTATTCATGAAAGAACTCACTCTAAGGAGAAACCCTATGTATGTAAACATTGTGGGAAAGCTTTTGGTAAACCTAGTAACTGTCGAATACATGAAAAAACTCATATTGGTGAGAAACCTTATGTGTGCAAGCAGTGTGGGAAAGCTTTTAGTACACACAAGTATTGCCAAATACATGAGAGAAATCACACTGGAGAGAAACCCTATGTATGTAACCACTGTGGGAAAGCTTTCAATTTTAAGAGTAATTGTAAAATACATGAAAAAATTCACACTGGGGAGAAACCTTATCTATGTAAGCAATGTGGGAAAGCTTTCACTAGACATAGTGATTGTCAGATTCATGAAAAAACCCACACTGGGGAGAAACCCTATGTATGTAAAGAATGTGGCAAAGCATTCAGGACATATAAGTATTGCAAAATACATGAAAGAAATCACACTGGAGAGAAACCCTACATATGTGAACAGTGTGGGAAAGCATTCACTTGTAAGAGTTCAATTTGTACACATAAAAGAACTCATTCTGGGGAGAAACCCTATGTATGTCAACAGTGTGGGAAAGCATTTAGTACATATAAGTATTGCCAAATACATGAAAGAAATCACAGTGGAGAGAAACCCTATGTATGTGAAGAGTGTGGGAAAGCATTCAATTGTAAGAGTTCATTTTGTAAACATAAAAGAACTCATACTGGGGAGAAACCCTATGTATGTAAGCAATGTGGGAAAGCTTTCAGGACACAAAGTGATTGCCACATACATGAAAAAATCCACACTGGACAGAAGCCCTATATATGCAAGCATTGTGGTAAAGCATTCAATAGACACAGTAATTGTCAAATACATGAAAGAATTCACACTGGAGAAAAACCCTATGTATGTAACCAATGTGGGAAAGCTTTCACTGATAACAGTTCATTTTGTAAACATAAGAAGATACACTTCAGTGAAGCACTATGTGTGTGAGCAGTGTCAGAAATTATTCAGTATACACAATTGTCAAATACGTGAAAGAAGCAACACTGTAAAGAAAGCCTGCATATTTAAAAAATGTGAAAAAGCACTTAATACATACATGTACTGTCAAATACTGAGTTAAGTCACATTACTGTGAAATTGAAAGTCTTGGCGAAACCTTTCAATAAATGCTATGTCAAATACATGAAAGAATTCATACAGGAGAAAAGCACTATACATGCCTTTAGGACACAATTATTATTAAATACATTTTCAAAACTCAACATTGTTGAGGAAACCCTTTGTATGTTAGCAGTGTAGGAAAGTTTTCTGCACACAATCATTGTGAAGTACATGAAAGAACACACTAGAAAATTTATGTAAACAGTGGAAAAGCACCAACTACACAAAGTTATCACATATATGAAAGAATTTACACTGATGAACCCTGAGTGTGTAAGAAATGTGTGAAAGTATTTAGGACACTGTCAAAATGTGTGTGTACACATTGCAAAAGACTTCTATTAATCATAGACATTAAATACCACAAAAGAAATTAGCCATGAATGTGTCATGGCACAGCGACATGAAAGGATTCAGTGCGAAAAGGAGCCTTTCTTTGTAAACAATAGGAAGTCTTTCAGTACTCAGAGGTATCATTGCATAAAAATAAGGAAATGTGAACAAAGTAAATATTTTTTCTAAATGTACGTGAAAGTATTCAACTGGGAGAGAAGCCATATGTATATGGTAAATGTGGGAAATCCTTCATTTCTTCAGTTTACCTTGAAAGACAGAAACTTACACTGGATAAAAACCCTATATAAATGGCCAACTAGATAAGCTCAGCGGATTAAAGGGCCTGTTTAGGCAGATGCGGGGGCCCGGGTTTGATCCCCGGCTTACTGTGCCAGCCCTGCCCCCCGGGGTGCGCTGAGACCGCGATTGAGACTGGGTGCGATGGCATGTGCCTGTAATCCCAGTGCCTGGGAGGCTGAAAAGCAGGAAGGATAACTACAGGTTGGATCTGTGTAGTGAGACCCTGTAGACCCTCTAAATACCTAAAACAATTCCATAAACAAACCCTATATAGGTGACTTGAGAAAACCTTTTGTAGTTTCCATAACTTGAAAACCTAAACACACTGAAAGCACAAATACAGATTATGGAGATCCTTCATTTTTACATGACCTTTCATAGACACATGACATTTCATAGTACAGACGACTCCAACAAATGAGCATTGTATGAGAACACCTTTAATCATTTAGGTTTTCTTCTTGAAGAAGAATATAGCGTAGTGAGAAATCATGAATGGAAAGGACGTAAGTCTTCAGCTGGTTTATATGTAAAAATGCATATTGGATCAAAATCCCAGTAAATGTATACATTTCTCAGCTGTAACTCATCTTCAGAATCCTTTGAACATGTCTCACATAGTAGTGATCTAAAAAGCATACTACATGAAAACGATGTTGATTGATTTGTAGAATAAAAATACACAATGAATTGATACATATAATATGAACAGTGTCTTCAGTTATTAAAATATATCTTGATTGTGTAAATTTACTCAAGAACAAATGTGCTGACAATGTTATGTGTAAGCAGTATTGAAGGAATTTATTGTAATCAAATTAGGTAATGCATACTATGGATCCTGCTTAGCTCACGGGTAAATTGCCATGTATTTTTATATTCCAGTAAGCTAAATATTTATGTAATTTGTACTGTTTCAGTAATTTTGGGATAAGACACTTAAAATCAATTTTTATTAATGATTAAAATTTTTCCACTGAGGGCCAGCTAGATAGCTCAGCAGACTAAAGCACCTGCTTAGGAAGGCTCAGGGACTGTGGTTTGATCCACAGTGTGCTCTGCCAGCCTCGCCTCCAGGGCATGCTGAGATGGCTATTGAGGTTGGTTCTGGTGGCAGGTGCCTCTAATTATAGCGCTTGGGAGGCTGAAAGCAGGAGGATTACTATGAGTCCTATCTGTGTAGTGAGACCTTGTACTAAATACATAAGAAATTTTTTTCTCACTAGATTTTGATTAAATTCTTCATGCAGATGCTTCAGTTTTCTTTGTTATAAGAGAATTTATAGGAATGTTATATTTTTAAAATTATAAGTCTGTTAAATATTTCTGAATATGTATTTTAGACAGTTCAATTGTTTCCAAACAACAAACAGATTAGCAAGTATTACTTTCCACATTCTGAGGTGTATTTAATCTTGACTATAGATTATGTGCATTGTATAATTTTCTGGGTTTTTTGATAGCAAGAAACATTGTCATGTATATATAATTTGAGGTGTTTTATACAAAATAAATATTTATTTTTCATGCTCATATTTTCATGATTTTATTTTGGTGATATTAAGGTACTCAGGTTATATCCTAACTTTTTGATTTTTGTAAAGTCAAAAACATTACAACTAATTAAAATCCACTTTGTAGTAACATTGTTTCAGAGATAGTCATTTCTATAGACTTGGAATTCCCATCTCATATACAGTTTATGTCACTCACTGTATGTAACAGTAACTCTGAGCACCCAGTGAGAGCCCAGTGAATTGCTGATGGTATCAGTTTTAACGTAGTTTCTTAATACTGATAGGTATAGAGAAGTTCTAGATTTTTTATCATTCAAAAATATCTACTGCCACTTAAGTGATGAGAGAGCCTACCATGCTTTCTGCTCCTCTGGTAGGGTATCAGTGAACAGATACGCTGGAGATATTTTTCACCCAAATTGTGTGCTTTTCTTTCACTGCTGCATGATTTCCGTTGTTTTTCTTTGTTAATTCTGGCTGCTTAATTATACCATGGTATCTATAGTAATTGATTCATTTAAGGTTTTCACTTTTGTTCTTGCATAATTTCAATATGGCTTTTCAATAATGTTTAAATCTTTACTGATGCCAGTGTCATTTTATAGAAACACCATTTTGTAATTTGCTTTTATTAACTTTTTGTTTGTCTCTGCCTCTTGGAATAATTAAGACAGTTATCTGGTAGAGTTATATAAATAATTCACTGAATGTAGAAACTTTCACTCAATTCACTTTTATTGTTGAGCCATATTTACCTCTTCTTTCCTATTTAATTTTTGTTTTTTCACATGTGTGCATTATCAATTAGTCTAATGGAAAAAAAACTAAAAATCATTCTTTATCGTTTCCCAGTTTTGAGGGAGTGAGATAAAAATGGTTGAATTTGGGTACTCTACTTCTAAATCATATGTAGAAATAGTTGAGTGGTTTGTTATTTGCATATGAATATTTCTTTTCCAACTAAATGGAAAATAAATGTATGTGAATTTATTTTGGGAATTTTACTAACAATAGTTAACCCCTAATACTTCTACTCTTTGTGTTCCACTTGCTATATGCTATGATCAACAGCCTGGGCTTGTAACTTTGAATCTGGCAGACTCTTAGCTACCTAAACCCCTGATGTGGGATGAATTCTCATTCAGAGTTCTCTATGAACTTAAACCTGTCAGACCAGGATCCTTCATTCTCATGAAATTTTGTACTTGCAGGTGAGGCCTATTTTACTGTGCTAGAATCCTCAATGATGTGAATCATATTTCCTTACAGGTCCTCTTTGTTTTTCATGCCATTTGTTCATGAGTATCATCATAACCGTTCCCTTGTAGGCAAACAAAGCAATTTGCATCATACTCTAGATGTGTAAACACTGATGATCTTTGATGTCAGTCTTCTCTTCAACTTTTCTAGGGTTCACTCTTGATGGCCAACATGAAGTCTGACTGCTAATAGCTGGATGCCTGAAGCACTCATATTTACAACTGTGTCACTTTGTACATTGCTGTCCAATCAAAAAATTATTTCTGAACTTTTAATGTCAGATGGTAGGAAAGCATGCACAAACTCATCTCCTATTCTTATGAGCATGTAATTATTTATTGTGGTCCTCCACACTTAAATTTATTTGGCTTTTGCCTCATAGGTCTTTGTCTTTGACAGTTTTACTTGAGTTAGATATATTTCATTTTTGAAATATATTCATTGATTTTTTTTTACTTTGTATACATTTTACATTGTATATATTTCATACTTTTAAAAATTCTTGGTCTGAAGAAATAGCTCAGTAGAATAAGGGCTTGCCTGACAAGTGCAAGGTTCTGAGTTCAACCCCTGTTCCACACACATACACATACACACACACACACACACACAAAAATTCTTGTCTCTTAGTATTCACAATTTTTCAGAATTTAAATTTCTCCCTGTAGTTCTTAGTTCACATCTAAAAGATATTTTATATTAAATTCTTGAAGTATTTAGATTTATCTTTCCTGTTCCAAACTGGACTTTATTGTACATAAGAACAGAAGAGGAATGCAACACAAATTCTTAAGTGTATACCAGGTTCTCCCTACTTTGTGTATTGAGCACATTGTGATTTCTGCCATTATTGCACAATACCAGTGCTATCTTATATTAATGTCTTACTTACATGTGGGCCCATTGAGTATTGTGTTCCTTTCCTGTAAACTTTGCTACTCTACTAATGGTACTAAGCTCTGAATAGTGGTTTGAATTTCTTTTGTTTATATTAAATAAGCTGTCACCTACTTGTGTATATGTTATTGAACATTATTAGACATTTATTATACTGAAGTATAATTTTTGACAAAAGGTGAAATTTTTGGTATTCAACAATATTTTTCTTGAAGTTTTTATTAGTGCCGATAAGCATTGCAACATATATTTAATCATAACCATCTTCCCAATACTGTCACTTATTCTACCCTTGGTGAAAGGTGATCTATTAGTGCCATTAAACTCTAAGAAAATACACTACTTTCCCCTTAATATTGTCCTTCACCTTCCTCCAATAAAGACTATAATCTTACTTTTTAAATTTTAAATTTTTAAAGAATACAAAATAGTAATAAAAATGAGAAATGATACAGAATTTCACTAAATAAATACTATGAATTTTGACAATATTTTTTGTATTGTATAGTGTTGTCTTCAACTTAGTTGTTCAGATTACCAGATATATACCTGCAAAATTGGAAAGAGAAAGAAAAAAGTTACAAGAAATTAAGAAATGAGAAAGAGGAAAAAAAATGAAAAAAGAAGACAAAAAAATTAAGCATTAACTGCTCCTTTCCATAGACCAACAGAAATCCACACTACAATTATCCAAGCCATCCTGCATACATGCAGGAGTATATCTCTTTCCCCCATTCCCTCTCCTGTCCTTATCTCAACAATTCCTTCCAAAAACTGTAATTTTAAAATTAACATTTGTAATTAGTCGTGCATAAATTTTATTTAGTGTTCCACTGGTTTTTGTCTATGAAACTAGGGCCAAGTTTCAGAATGCTGTCTAGATACAAACAAATGAAAGGACTTAGCAAAACAATGCATTAGAGATTTGTGTACCCCAGAGTTTTGTGTTATGTTGTTTCCTCCCTCTAAAACCCATGCTTCAGAGACAGTGAATAAATACAACTGCAGTGACCCGGCAGGACAAATTGTTCATATCTATTTATGTTTTCATTTTTGTCTTCTAAGTCAGGGTCTCATTATTTGGTTCAAACTTAGCTTAAACTCACTGTGTAACCCAAGCTGACTTTGAACCCCTGTGATCCTCTTGGCTGAGACTGCCCTGGGCCGCAGTTATAAGCATACTGTGTGTTCTGCTGATGTGTTAGCAATGGATTTTAGTTTAGCATAAGTTACTGTGAGACAGGACATAAACGTGGATTGAGAAGAAGGGTGTGATGCTTAAATGAGAAGCAAACCTTTCAAGGCCACAGCCTCACTGCATAATTTATGAATTGAATTGAGAGGCTCAATGCTGTGAGTCATCCTTTTCCCTGGAAATACTATGTGTGCTGATGTAGGAGGTAGTGACTTTTGAGGAGAT